TAACTAGCGAGGGTTCCATCATAATGCAAGACAATTCTAGCGCATTTGCAGTGTCTCAAAGTGTAAGTTCTCTGTGGTATATATAATACTTTATGTGCGCAATTGATGATTTTATTTCTTTCATAAATATCCGCATAAAATTTCTTTTTAGAACGTGGAATGTTCCCTTGATAGTCCGACACCAGGAGCTCCTACAGGAATCGAAAATATGAGCCCGAGCAAAGAAAATGTGAAGATACGAACTCAAAGACCAGGATCCCGTTTGCAGGAACTAGAGCAAGAATTAGCAAAAATTCATCATAGAGGTTCAGTTTTCACAGCAGCTTCAGTTCAACCTTTAACGCCACCTATATCAAATGTACAAACACAATCTGTACAAAATTTGTTAACAACTGCTCAGCCAGTATCAATAGTACCTGTGGCTACTATTACTTCTAACATCGTGACATCGCGATCTGGTACCAATACTCCAATTCAGACAGAACTCCAAGATACTACTAATGAGGTAATTTTCTGCGACATTTTCGAAAGTACATTACATTATTTATCTCTATTTTTATACGTATTGCATTTAATTCGATGTCACACTTTTTTTCTAAAACGTTACAAAAGAAATCATTATAATAGAAATCGTTTTATAATATATCTGCTTTTCAAAATAATATTGGAATATTTATCTTGGAATAATAATGTTGATGCAGAAGACAAATTCTACTCAACCTACTAGAAAAGTATCCAGATTTATGGTTTCCAAAGTTTCGGGTCCGCCTGTTCATAGCAATGCTGCTATTAATCAACAACAAGCTACTGACGCTGTAAGGTCTCAGTTACAACAAACGGAAGAATTAAAAATTTTAGAACGGCAAAATGTTCTTCCTCATCATACAGATGATCTACATGGTTAGAGATTTTATTTAAAAGATGAAACTTAAATAAAAATACATTAATATAATAATAAATATATATATAAGAATGTTTTTATGTATCAAAACAATTGATATATTTTCTAATTATAGGAGTATCTGCACAAATATCTTACAGTCGAGAAAATTCTATTCCACCAACTGTACAGGCAACTCATAGTACTAACATTTCAAATATTGAAGTAAGTTTCTTTTTATAACATATTAAATAAAAATATAAAAATTGTAAAATAAATTATTTTAATAAGAATAATAGAGTTAGATAAAATAATTTATTATGGACATTACAGTCCGAAAAAGAAGAGAGATTTGTGGCTCTTACACCGAGTGAAGAATACCAGTTACTTATAAAAAGGTAATATTATTTAAAATATAATATTTAGAAACCATAAATTTATTTTTTATTTAACGAAAGATAAAAACATCTAAAATATATTAAAATAACTAAAAAAATAACTAAAAATAAACTTCAAAGATTAATTTACGATTTGTGTCTATTTTTTAAGGACGTAAAACAATTTTTATTATGTATAGACAAACTTTGGAACTAGAAACATTGCAAAAAAGACATAGAGAGGAGTTGGAACGTTTTCAACAACAGCAGCTACAATTGCTTATTCAACAACAGCAACAAGCAAGTGCGCTTCACCATCAGCATCATCCGTTGCTTTATCACACAGTTGCAACAAATATTTCCGGTCAATAATACAAATTAATTTCATTTCATTATACATATATACGTGTTCCTTATGTATACTGATTGATTATTATTTTGTCATTTGACAGGATCTAGAATTCCAGGAACGGAAGATTATCTAATGTTCGGCACAGCACCGCAAACTCCACTGCAGAAAGGGCCGAGTAACTATCCGGATACGGATGAGACTTTACGGCTTGCCATGCAGAAATTAAAGCAGCCTCCATTGCAACTTCAACCGCAGCAGGCATCGGCTGGAATACCGCATGCTTATGTTATCCCAATTCCAGTAGTGCCTTCTGAAAATATGCAAAGTGTAGTTTCTCAGCAAGGTAATAACTGTTCGAATGATGTATCCGAGAGCATTGATACGACGCACAACACGGTGGTTGGAAATCCGACGCAGTACCAATTCACTCCTATATTATCAGAGGGAACGAATATCTCGTCAACAAACGTCGGATCGTTACCTGCATCCGCACCTTTACCGATATCCGGCGCGACAAGCGCCTACATTCAGTATGAGGGTCAGCCGCTACCGAATTTTCAGACTTTCAGCTGCACGCCTCATGGCGGTTTCTTTTTACCAGCTGGCTATCGGCTAATATATACGCCGCCCACGACTCAATCTCAGCCAGCGACACCCGCCACATCTCACGTGGTAAATTCTTCACGTGACGATACGCCCTCAACGGCGGAGCTGCATCACTCGATCACCGCCGAAAATTCAATGGTTCCTCCTTCGCATTCGGATCAATAACGTAACATTCGGGTCACACGCTTCTATATTTTTCAGTCGATCTGCGTTCGTTCTTAGTTTAACGCTCGGTACTTTATAGTGCAGTTTCGCATCATTATCGTCACGAGTGTAATTCGAATATATAATTTGCTGTGAAATGCGCGCCCCATTGCTAGACAATATCATAAAGGTGCGAAGATGGATCGAAAAAAAGAAAGAAAAGAACGTGAATGAAACTATATATAATGTTTTTCGATGTACGACGCACTTGCGTATATTAAACAAGATATATCAAATATTCTCGCTATCTGAGCGTGTGCATGATATTGCTATGATATGTGCCTCGCAGCGGAAGTAAAAGCGGAAAAAGTGAGAAGCGAAGAAGCGATATATATAATATATATAATATATATATGTATATGTATATATATATGTATATGTATAT